GAGCACTGATAAATACACTGAACAGAAATGACTGGAACTGAACAATGAGGTACAGCTTTGTTTGTTTTTGTCTGGCAATGATACTCTTTTCCCTTCAGTTCCCCAAAGAGGCTATTTTTAAGATTTCCCACTAGTCACCAACAGTGGATGTTTTTATCCCAAAATGAGAACAGTGTTTCTAAAGTTTTATTCTATACGAAGGGTAAACATAAATTTCCTAGGGAATATGAAGTATTTTTAGCAATCCAGGAAATTCCTGGATGAAGGAGAAGGGATTGAGGGCAGTCCTGTGGACCAAGGACTTGAAGGTGTTGGTGTATGAAAAGCTCAACATGAGCCACAGTGTTCTCTTGCAGCCCAGAATTCAACTGCGTCCTGGGCTGTATCAGGAGTGTGGGCAGCAGGTCAAGGGAGGTGATTCTGCTCCTCTGCTCAGCCCTCCTGAGACCCAACTTGGAGTACTGCATCCAGTTCTGGGGTCCCCAGTATAAGAAGGACATGGACCTGCTGTAGTGAGTCCAGAGGAGATGACAAAGATGCTCAGAGGGCTGGAGCACATCTCCTCTGAGGACAGGCTGAGAGAGTTGGGACAGTCCAGCCTGGAGGAGAGAAGGCTCTGGGGAGACCTTACAGCACCTTCCAATACCTAAAAGGGCCCCACAAAAAAAAAAAAAAGAAACCAACCTAGAGAGGGAACTTTTACCAAGGCATGTAGTGATAGAACATGGGGTGATGGTTTTAATCAGAAAGAGGGTTGATTCAGCCTAGATGTAAGGAAGAAATTTATTACACTGAGGGTGGTGAGTCACTAGAACAGGTTAGAGGCTATGACCAAAAAAACACCCCAAAATCCCAACGCGATGGCAAAAATGAGGCAGACTTCAAAACAATGTTGCTGGATAAAGAAGGAAAATGGTATTTACCAACTTCCTCCTTTTCCAAAGTTTCAAGTTCTGTAGTTTGTTTTTTTAGGCAAATCTTAAGCCTTCAAATTTGAACATACACATTAACTTCTATTTCAGCCTTACAAGAGAAACCATTACCCTGAAAACTTAAGAAAGAAATAAGGCAATAAACTGCAAGCAGTTTGGATTTGTAAATACATATACAATCCAATTTCAACTAAAAATATTTACTGACACATTAGAGAAAAAGTTATTTTGTTTCTACAAGGATGCAAACATTTTTGGAGTTAATTTAAGAGACTGTGACTTGTTTGATCCTCATCATTCCTGACAGCAGAGGCCTCCTCAACACATTTCTTAAAGTGTCTTTCAAATTTTCATTTGGAGATTGACAGAGCTAAAATGACTATCTGCTCCTCTCAGAAAGACAATACTAAGATGTTTCATCTTTGGCCTCACAAAGATATAAAAGAACAGAAAGTGCAAGAAAATTTTTTGTGAGACTGTGGAAGAAGCTTGGTTAAGAGGTTGCTCTTGATGATCCTCTCTCCACGTGTCAGAGTGCTTTTCCTTACTGCTGTGCCCCTGCAGCTGCAGCTCTGCCTGACCAGGCACCTGCTGCCATTGCATCTCAGGCGAAGTGTGAGTTTAGTGCTGACATCCAGACTGGGAACTGCCTCTCTGCCCTTGTTTCAGTGACTTGTGATGCTATGGATCAAGAGGTACTTTGAAGGCACTGGCCATTCTCACTGGGAAATGATCATGCCCAGTACTGAGGTCCACTCTGGACACTCCTGCGGGAAAAGCTGATGCAGATTCTGAGGACTGTTAAAAATACAAGGGCCAACTTTGACCTCTGAGCCTACAGGAACTGTCAGTTCTATCCTGTAACAGCCTTTCTCTGAGCCATAGTTTTTAATGCCTGCCAAGTGTTACAGTATTGGGTGACAGTAATTAACCACTGGAAAGTAACATACTTTTGATTTCTATGAAAAATTCAGATTTC